AGTTTATTGTCTCGGATGCTTGGATTCTGTTTTTTATGCAACAAAAGTAAAAGTAACGTGCACGTGCATGCTTTACACCGCGTTCCAAATTATTATGCAAATGATATTTTTCTCAGATTTTCCTAAATAGTCGATTCAAATGACAGTCGGCATAGTTTTGCAGTCATCAGCCATTAGAGTATAATTCATATGTTACTCATCAAAGCTGCCAATGAAAACAGTATGTTTGTCAAAGATAAAAAACTTAAAACGCTCTGTTCCAAATTATTACACACACAGAGTTTCAAAACATTTTATAGGTTGTAGAGAATTGAAAATGGTCATTTGTTAAATTTGCAGCATTAGGGGAACATATTCACTGAAATCAAAAACATCTAAACAGGTCAACTTGCATATTAACACAGGACCCCTTTTACAATTCTTGCATCCATGGAACTTGTGAGTCTTTGGAAAGTTTCTGCTTGAATGTCTTTGCAGGATGTCAGAATAGCCTCCCGGAGCTGCTGTTTGGATGTGAACGGCCTCCCACCCTCTTATTTGTTTGCTTGAGGATGCTCCAAAGGTTCCCAATAGGATTGAGGTTAGGGAAGAATGGGGACCACACCATGAGTTCCTCTCCTTTTATGCCGATAGCAGCCAATGATGCAGAGGTGTTCCTTGTAGCATGAGGTGGTGCATTGTCTTGCATGAAGATTGTTGTGTTGCAGAAGGCACAGTTCTTCTCTTTCTACCATGGAAGAAAGTGGTCAGTCAGAAACTCCACATACCTTGCAGAGGTCATTTTTACACCTTCAGGGACCCTAAAGAGGCCAACGAGCTCTCTCCCCGTGATTCTGGCTCAAACATGACTCCACCACCTCACTGCTGATGTTGCCGCCTTGTTGGGACATGGTGGCCGTCCACCAACCATCCAGGGCTGCATCCATCTGGACCATCCAGGGCTGCGCTGCACTCATCAGTGAACAACACTGTTTGAAAATGAGTCTTCTTGTAGTTCTGGGCCCACTGCAGCCGTTTCTGCTTGTGAGCATTGGTTAGAGGTGGTTTATGCACAACTGCAGGTCTCTGGAGGATCCTACAGCTTGATGTTTGCAGCAGCTTCACATATGTGTTTGCTGCTTTGTGATGGCCTTTTAGCAGCTGCTCTCTTAATCGGATGTATTTGTCTGAAACCTTCATCATTGTGCCTTTACCTGCACGAACCCGTGTGTGCTCTGACTCAGCCACAAATCTCTTACATTATGGTGATCACGCTTAAGTTTTCGTGAAATATCTGAGGTTTTCATTACGTGTCCAAGGCATTCAACTATTTCATGCTTTTCAGCAGCAGAGATCATTTTTCATTCCTATATTGCTTGAAAACTGTGACCTGCTTAATAATGTGGAACATCCTTCTTTAGTAGTTTGTCCTTTAATTGGGCTCACCTGGCAAACTAATGCTACAGGTGTCTGAGATTGTTTTCAGTGATACAAAGAGTCCCGAGACACAATTTCATCCATGGGTTTAATTGAAAAACAACTTATTTCATCTGTATGACACTTAAACACAATAATAATTAGGAACGCGGTGTAGACTGTGACGCTGTTCCTGCAACACACAACTGAAATCAGCTGATTGTAGCGCAGCTGCAAGAACTGATAGGCAGGCTCAATAGTCAGGTTGACTAACAATTGTAGGGAATTGGACTTCCACTTAATTCCCATTCCTAATGAAAGCCAGTGTTGAAATCTTTTATTTAAATTGTCGTATCTGTGGAGGAGGTCAGGAGAGAGGTGCAGCAGGGAGTGTCTGCAGCCCTGTCACAGTGTGGGGTTTCAGTTCTGTGTGAAGATCCTCTGTCACTAAGTTGCAAAGATTGTTTAACATTTGCTTTAAAAAAATCTATTTTTGCACATCAAAATCCATGTTTGTGCTGTTTCTTCACATACTGTGTGTATGTATAATGTGTGCTGCAGGGTCCTCCCCCTACTCTGACTGTGAGCTGCACATGTGTGACACACTGTGTCTCTTCATTGAAAGTTCAAATTGACTTGATCAAAGTAACCCGATACTATGAAGACTACGTATGTTGGTGTGGCCTCAACCGAAGCCTCAGAAAAGAGTACTCCCCCACATACTTGTGCTAAAATATTGAGGTGGTTTTTGGGGAAACCTTCCCACCGAGCTCAGCTTCGGTATTTTTAGACTAAGTAGAGGTCTGAGAAACAACACTCGCGATCCCCCACCCTTCTCCTTTTTCCCGTTTCTCGTCTCTGGAGGGACTCGTCTGTTCCCTGCTGGATGTTTTTCTTTCTAAGCGGATGAATATGAGGATGATGTATAGAGTTTCCTCAACCATGTGGTGTAAATACGGTGTCTGCATCATTAAAGGCTTTATGAACTGTTTTCTGTTTTAATGTCTCCACACTGACAGCTAACGGATTTGTCCCAGGTGTCTCCATCGCTGCTCCCATATGTGTGCGTATGGAAAAATGGCCCGTTCCTTCTGTTTTCTTGTTGAAGTGGAACTATCGCAGTGCTGTATGCACATCCGAGGGCCCGCATGCACAGAATAATTCATTTGATGCTTTGATACGCAATAATGGACCCAGTAAGGTATTATTCATACGCCCCAGATCTCTTTGGAGAGTATGGCTTCTACAAAGTGTCCCGCTATCTTTCTGAGTGCCCCCCTCCCCTCTTTTAAGACTCTCTCGTCATTTATTATTTAAATCCCTCCATAATTCATCCAGCGCCCGCCAATACCCCCTTCTTTGCTCATTCTTCATTTAGTGCAAATTAGCACCAGCTCTGAATGTGCATTTGTGGAAAAGCAAACGGAAAGAAATGGCAGCGGGTCGGTCCGGTGGATACAACTCGATGCTTATTTCCTCAGTCCTGCCTGTGATGTGATGCCATGTGACATATTGAGTCTAATTTGTAGCCTAAAGAAGCAAACAGCTGTGGCCTATTTTGTTTAGCTGTTGTTCGGGTGATGTCACCATTTGTGCCTCGTAAGGCTGCCTTGCTTTTGGCAGTTGGTGTGAAGATGTCAGGAGAATTTTGTTAAGCTGCTGATGAAGAGGACAGGGGTTGTGTAGCCTTTAGATAAATCGGATAAGTCAACCAAGGCGGTTGTGTGGAGTTTGGAAGACATCTATTAACCAGTGTCACAGATTCACACACACATTGTTGCTATATTTTCCTATGTTGGACCGTTGGGACGTTCATAGAAGCCACAACAGTTTTAGCCCAGGAGGCTGCTGCTGGCATATAAACGTGGACGACCACGAAACTGAAGCTAACCCGAGCCAGCCTTCACGTCTGTGACCCCGATGCTGTTGTCGTTTACTTTCACTAAACAAACGAACCACTCAAAACTCCTGCAGCTGTTTAGCACCCACAATACTTCCTGTTTAGAAAGTTCTAGGTAGCGTGTATAATGAGCTCATCAGCAAAACTAGAAACACTTTTGGACACTGCTGTCATTTTGCAGTTAATTTCTGGTGGAGCGACATCAGAGACTGCGCTGCATGCAGTGGTGAACTCACGATATACTGTATATTTTTGGTCTCCACCTAACCAAAATAAACTGTTTACGGCAATATTTTTTCATGGTTCTGATGTCACTGTAGTGACTTTAATTTCTTAAAGTTCTCTCTTTGTCTTATATTTAATATAACCACACTACGGACAGAGACGCACCTGTTTTTATGCGTTGTCGTTAGCAACAACGACAGCAAAACCATCGCGTGTCCGCTGGTTTAGTTTCCACATTAACCTTTCACAATAAAGTTCAAGATCCTGTTGAGACTTTTCAAAATAAACTGAATCACGTGAAAGAGGCAGAGTGTTTACGGATGAGAATTAAAAAAGAGCCGCCAGGTGCTAAAAAAGAAACCTTAGACTCAAACGTTAGAGCAGGCTTTTCCCCGCAGCACGCCGTGTAAGAAATGCTCACAAAGAAAACGGCGCCGTTACAACTTACGTCTAAAAATGTATCGTTTCATGCATCGTTAAAACAGCGGTCCCCAACCCCCGGGCCTCGGACCGGTACCGGTCCGTGAGAGTTGAGGCTCAGGTGTGAAATGTCTGGTTTTCAGGGTTTCTATCGGTTGTCAGAGTTATTTTGTTATCGTTTTTATCGTTTACTCGGTTTTCCTGGGTCTTTTCACGTGTGCTATGAATAAATCTTCTTTTTTTCGGTCCCGGTACTAGTTTTATTTTGTTGTATTTATCCGCGACACCTTAAAGGCCGGTCCGTGAAAATATTGTCGGGCATAAACCGGTCGTGGCGCAAAAAAGGTTGGAGACCGCTGTGTTAAAACCCTCGACTCCAGCTACACGACGCCCAGCTGGAAACACTTCACCAAGTCGAGCTGCCCGAGATTCACAGAATTTACAGAAAATGTTACATTCTTGTGATTTATATGGTTATTGGGACGATAGATGTCTTATATCAGGATATGAGATTTTGGTCATATCGCACAGCCCTAGGTGACTGTTGCTGTAAATTATAAAATCGTATTTAAAGGTTGAAATGAACACTGAGCAGTATCAGAGCCAGGGCTGCACATCAGTTGATTATTGAAGAATGTGAATAATAGTTTAAGGGGATCTTAAACGTGGTATCACAGCGTTTAACTGATTGTGTTTCATTTGCTCGCAGAGAAATGAAGAGTCTGTTTTGTTGTAGTAGTTTCATTTTAATGGAAAGAGACAATATCGATCAAAGATCCAGAATTTAAAAAAACTTCTGGACAAACTTTAAATCATTATTTCCGTCTCTGCACTGAAGCACATGTGTGACTTAACTGCACAGCAGCGAACTGCTGAACTGGGTTCAATATTCATACCTGCTCCTTCCTCCTGTGCAGGTCTCAGCACGTCAGCCTGCGTCCCTGCTTAGACATAACATTACTGCTGAAAAAGCCGACAGTCTCACTGCCTAAATATGCACTGACGGTCTATATCTGTTGATCATGCATATTGATAAGAGTTTTGTTTTCTGTGTCCACAGATGCAGTCGGGGAAAATAACCTGGGTAAGTGGAACATTTTGGGAGAATTCAGATACGCTGTACTGAAAGTTACTGTAAAGATGACACGTCAAATATCAAACGACTGAAATACTGTGGTTGGTTTTTCCACTCCTACTGCCAGTGTTATTACTACAGCCAGCATTAATGCTGGTACTAGTATTGATACGTGGCATTAATTCACCTTATACAGCACACATCGTGTTGGACCGTGTAGCTGCCTTAAATAATAATTTTCAATAAAGTCGTCCAGTTACTCTTTTCTAGCCTTTGGTGTCACGTCTGCCCGGTGACACATTCACCGGCTCACACTCTTCTGTTAGTATTATTGGACATTAACTCAGCTCAGACTCAGGTACCTGGTCCATGCTGGTACCTGGTCTCACTTTGCTGAGATGTCCAACACTGATCAGTGTAGAGCTCTGTCACTTTCTCTCTTTGGTTATTTATTTGAGAAAAGATCACAATTAATTTTGAAGTGAACATTTCCTTAATGAGAGATGTGAGTTTGCTGTTTTTGAACGACGTCACGTTGGACTACAAAAAGAGAGACTGATGCAGAATGTAGAGTTTTTAACATCACATGGATTTCTAAATATGTGTTTATTTAAATCAGAGGTAAATGTGCTCAGTTATGGGAGAGCAGCCATGTTTAAAAATTACGATTTGAATGGTCATTATGTAACTATGAGACATGCACAGAAACGCTGGCTGATGCAGAACAGGAAGAGACGTCTGAGCTTTTGACCGAGCGTTACATCCAAGAATGGAGCAGCCACAAAAACAATAAAACATTTTGTAAATGGGAGTTAATCAAAGAGTCGGCCACGCTTATATAGCCTGTGCAAAATAAACATTTGAGAATATGCCGTGCAAACTGTAATAAGACGTAGACGGGACTGTGGGAAATGTGGAGCTTAGTCGAAAAACAATGTGGACAAATTTGACTTGTTCTCCTTGACTGTGGACGAGAGCTGAGATGCTGGTGACGCAGCCCAGGTCACCTCTGCATGTCAGATATTGAAGAGTTTAACGTTGCAGAAGAGCTAGCAGCAATGCTCCGAAAGGAGGATGACAAGGAGTGATTTGGGAATAAAGGAAAACTGCAGATGAAGAATTTGAACTGCAAGCAAACTAGCATAGCGCTTTGTATAAAAATAGGATTCGTTTTTGTTTAAATGTTAAATAATGATAACGTGATGGCCTGTTTCACATTTTCATCGCCTAATTGTAACGTCTACTCTTCTGCTTCTACTAAGCAGTTTATAAAGAGATAAACGGAATGGAGTCCAGCTGATTGGTGCCACAACTGTACCAATCAGGTCCAAACTGATCCAAAGCAAAGGCCAGCACAGGCGGGGTGGGGGGCGGAGACCAGTGTCAGGGGTGAATTGTGACAGAAGGATGGCAGCAAGAGTGAAGGAGAAACCTGCTGTGATAGATGGTCCTAACAAAGACACGGAGCTGCCCGGGAGGAGGTCCATGCTCATGGATTGGTGTGGTACAAGAGGAGGCTGGAGATGACGTAAGAGGACGTACCGTATTTTCCGGACCATAAGGCGCGCTGTCGATGAACGGGTCTGTTCATACATAAGGCACCCTGGATTAAAAGGCGCATGAAGTGAAACCAAACAGTCAGATAAGTCAAACACTGCTCAACTCATTCTTCTTGCTTCCTCCACTTCCGTACCATCGATTCATTAATGTTGAGCTAGCGAGCTAACTTCCTGCTAACTTCTAACTCCGTTGAATTTAATAAATCTGTTTTCATGGATGCCTGGATGTTAAACTTCATTGTTACACCTGGTAAAGCAGCAACGCTGATCATTTTATTACAGATGGAAGACTTTAGACAGTTTGTAACTCTCAGTGATGCTGCAGCGTTCGTTTGACTTTAGGACCTGAAGCAGACGGAGTTTAGGACCCAGACTCCTGACTACAGCAGCCGTAATGCTCCGACTATCCAGCAAGTGGTGCGGCTTCGTAGTTTAGCAAAGTCGTACCAAAATAGTTTTGGACAGATTTCTGAGCGCCGTGTAGCACATAAAATCAGCTCAGTGAGCACAACCAGAAGTCATACATATGGAGCACCGGATTATAAGGTACACAAGCTCATATGTATAAGGTACACTGTCGATTTGTGAGAGAATTAAAGGCTTTCAAGTTCACCTTATAGCGCGGAAAATACAGTACATAGAAAATAAACAAATAAAAAAGAAATACATATAGAAAATGAATCAAAGACAATAAAAACTCACATAATGTAAAATACATATACATACTCCCATTAAGCTGTGTCTAAAAATACATAAAATAAAAAAGCAAAATTCAATTGTAGTAATAATGTCAAGTACAGCTTTATGTGAAATGCAGATGTTTCTTGACAGCTATAGTGTAAAGTACCAGGAAATAGACCTGCTCAAAGCTCAGTTACCTGAGTGGTTACTATCCTCTGTGGGTCACATATGCTGTGGGTTTGGCCCTTACTTCATTTAACTAACTCAGACTTTTAAAACCATCTTTGCATGAGAGGATTCACATTCATCAGCACTCAGTGGTGACACGTACAACATGGGACGTCTGTGATCGTAAATTCACAGAAGGTTATGCACATTATGTAATGTGTGGTGTGTCAGAGCTGCAGGTACAGCTATTTAAATATTAAAAGCGTCACTTCAGACCTCTTCTGTGCAAGTAGGCAGCAAAGTGGAGCTAACTTTGGCATCTGGAGGAGCAGCATTAGCACAAAGCAGCTGAATATTCGGTTAGTTGGGAAGAGGAGTTCAGCTTTCCATATGTAAGAGCACAGTCTTGGTACTGATCAGCCGTCCATGTGCTCATGAACAGCTGATTATATCCCTGAACTAAGAAGCATGCTGATGATGACATGTGTCCAGTGTCTAAAGGACTTTAGAGTTGGTCACTGCTATACTTGTGTGTAGTTTGCTAGTAACAGCACCTACTTCCAGCACGCTGTGTCCACACTGCTGCTGTTTAGGAAACATCCACTGGTTTGTAGTTGCAGGTTGGCTTTGGTTAGGTTTCTCAGATTAGATCATGGTTCTAGCTCAAATCCAGCCTTTCAATTACATTATCCATTTCTTAGAAAGCATGTCTGCCAAAAAAAGCACACGAACAACAATGTTTACTGCCGGTACAAGTTCCCATCACGTCCCCTGGGAGCTGCATGCAGAGCTCCTAAAGGCCGAGGTGAGGCGCAGCCAGCCCGTTGCCTCTTTGTCTCCACGCTGAATCCAGCGAGACCGGCGTCTCCTGGTGTCTCTGCCTTTCTGATTAGAGAGCTCCTTGGGGAGTAATGACAGAATTGTGCTCCTGTCAGTTCCTGCTGCTCAGAGTGGGCTAATAGTCATGTTAGCGCATGCAGCATGTCATTAGCTCTGCGCTAGTAGCCCAACGAGGGGCGAGTCTGTCATTTTGAGGCTAAATCACAGGGCGGGTAGGCCGGAGATCAGTCACAGCGGTTCTCTGTAGCTCCAGTGTTTCCGCCCACCCTCCTCTGCCTCGCTTAATATGCACCGACTTACACATACTGTATTAACTCTGAGGAATTACTGCGACGTGGGCTGGAGAAGGCAAATGGAAGTCAAAGAGAGCCACTCTGATGGCTGCTGATACAGCGATCATTCAATCAAAATCCTAATTTGAAACACACTGCTTATTTCTGACTGTGATTGGATGATTCATGGTTATCACTCGGATGATTAGCAGGCTTGCGTAGCATCTATCAGAGCATGGGCTAATCTGCTTTGATTATTAGCCTCTAAGCCTTCCTTCCACGCTGGGCTTGTCGGGTACGGAGTGATGAGAAATTGCGCTCTCCTCGTGTTTGTATTAATCTATCTGCGCTCACTCGCCAAACTGATAATTGCACGGCCCAGGCTTCAGATCAGCCCCTCCCCCGAGGAATGTTTTCCTGTAGCCTTAAACATGCAAACATTCCTTTGCACTCGTGTGTAACGTTCCAGCGTATCAATCAGTTTTTAGATAAAATTTGCACATTCTTACCGTGACAAACAAAATCTCCACCCCTGTTGGGTTACATTAGTTTCAGGTGTTTGGGTTTGTTCTGCCCGAGGGATGCTAGTCTGGTTTGGCTCTTCCCCTCTGCGGTTTCTACTGACCATCAGTGGACGTGTGCACCGTCAAACCTGAAGAAAGTCTGCTGACGCTTCAGCGTGCAAATCAGCCGTCTGCATGGAGCGTCTGTTACATGTATGTATGCCATGGCAGAATGCTTCTGTGCACAATAAAAACTTCTGCACATTTTCCAGCTCATTGGTCACAGTGGGCTTTTAATGCTAAGCACAACTTGCCCCGCAGCTGAAACTTTATGGGGAATAAGCTGAGCATGATATATTTAAAAAAACGTTGAAGCCCGTGGCTCCATAAGAAGATAAGAAGTGGATCTGTTTTTTGATCCACGTGAGGCAGATCTTAGCAAAGCTGTGGGTTGATCCGTGAGTCTGTGGGACGAGCTGATAATTGCGAGCGAGCGTGACCGTGTTATACAACACGCGCGCATCTTCACTCGGCGCCGTGACCTTCTCCGCTGAGATTTGCGTCCGCCTAACTGCCCTTTTGCTGGGGCATGTTGTGTAAGTGAAGGGGCCACGACGTGAATAACATTGGTATTTGTGCAACTTCCTGTGCTGAGTGGAGAACTAACTGGAGCAGGAGAATGGCGCTGTTCGGCGAGGTTCACGGCTGTTATTCCTACAGGCCATGAGCGTGAAAGCAGCTAATGACATCTGACAGTTCTGGAGCAAGAAGAGGAGGGCTGGACAGAAGGGGGTGGGGGGAGGTTGGTGGGGTTAAGAGATAGAGGGGGTGGCTGTGGGAGAGTATGGGGGGGTGAGAGAAATAAGGGATGAGCTCGGTGTGGACAAAGCAGGGATGAGGGATACGGGAGGGGAAGGGCTAAAGAGGCGAAACTGTTGGGACCTATTGTTAGCCACTGTAGAGGACGGCCTCCCAGTGCCGCCACT